AGAAAGAGCACAGTCATCTGGTCCAGGCACCCTTTTCCCTCCCTTTATTATCATTATTATTATTTTAATAAAAAGACTTATTTTCAGAAACATTCTGAAAGTCTAACTCACAATATTGTTTGAATAATTAGTTTGGTGCGTTCAGATGCCTGATGGACAGAAGAGTATAAAGACACATGAATAATAAGTGAAATAAACAAATAAATAATGGAAAAAAATATATAAACTGAAGCATGACTTCCCTCCCCACTCTCCCCCCACCCCTCCTCCAGCTCTAGTTAGTTTATCCCAGTTCTATGAGGCAGAAAGAAGGACTGGAGAAGCAGAATATTTTTCTAAATTAAATATTTGCATACTTCCTTTTATGACAGGAAGTTTTCAACGGATCTTGCTAAGTTAATGTTCTTTAATGAATTTATAAGCCATGATGCAATGGAAGCTTTTAAGTTCCTCTGAAAATTGGACAAGAAGTAACTTGAATCCACTCAAACTCTTCCCACAAAACACAGTGTCCAAGAGTTGGACGTTTCTGGAAAATAATAGCAATGAACACATTTTAAATGTCATTATTTGGCTTTCAGAGTTGAGGTTAAGACAAATTGGCAAATTCCCACCTCCCAGAATTACTGCTTCAATTTACTTGCACACTGCAAGAATACTGCAGTTGATTATACTCAAAAAATAAATCACTTCATCTAGAAGCGGGAAAACTGTATCTTTCTGCCTAAAAATGAACTTTAAATTGTCCAAAAAGCTACAGAACTCCTCAAGGAAGTTTTAGTGCAGCAAATCAGCCACTGCCTGATGAAGCTTCTGAAGGAATTTTAGTTTCTCTTGGATCATCCAGCATATGTCTAGTAGGGTAGAGGTGTAGAGGAAAAACAGCGTGTTACTTCTTGACTTCTGTTACTACTTTGACACCTGTCAGGCAAAGGTGGCCTGTGAAAGTGTATCTTGGCATTATTTCCTTTAAGAGCGGAGAGGGTACCACACTCCAACTGAGCAGTATATACTGAAAACAATGCTTACTAGCTACAATTTAGAGAGGTTTTCTAACAACTCACTTGTATCCATACTCCAAATTACAATGTGCGATTTTGAAATATGCATTAATTTGTATAGAAATTATCATGCTTCTATGAGTTATTTCATCACCAAGAAACTAACCAAGTTGTAATGACAGTGTTTCTTAAAGGAAGTTAATTCTAATGTCTACAATTCTGCTTTCTTAATATTTTACCTATATGTGCTTATAGAATCATAGAATGCATAAGGTTGGAAGGGACCTCTAGAGATCATCTAGTCCAACTCCCCTGCACTCGCAGGGTCACCTAGAGCACGTGGCACAGGACTGCATCCAAGCGGATTTTGAAGATCTCCAGAGAAGGAGACTCCACAACCTCTCTGGGCAGCCTGTTCCAGTGCTCTGTCAACCTCACTGTTAAAAAATTTTTCCTTAAGTTCCTGTGGAACTTTTGGTGCTTCAGTTTGTGGCCATTACCTCTAGTTCTGTCAGTGGCCACCACTGAAAATAGACCAGCACCATCCTCTGCACTCCCTCCCTTGAGGTACTTATAGACACTGATTAGATCCCCTCTCAGCCTTCTCTTCTCCAGGCTCAACAGGCCCAGCTCCCTCAGTCTCTCCTCACAGGACAGATGTTCCAGGTCCCTGATCACCTTTGTGGCCCTGTGCTGGACTCTCTCCAGCAGCTCCACATCCCTCTTATACCGTGAAGCCCAGAACTGGACACAATACTCCAGATGCGGCCTCACTAGGGCTGAGTAGTTAACCCTTCAACAACAATTCAGTTACAAACACTATCTTAAATACTCATCATCATTCTTGCTGCCAAATAATTTCAGGTTATCATAATTTATTTTTTTCTGGCTACCACTTCTCTAAACTGGAAATTGGGTTTGTATATGGTACAAACCAAACAATATGGTATATTATTTGTATAATATAGGAGTGGCAGATACATGGCAATAACAGTTATTGATGGAGGCTAAATATTCAAACAGACATTAAGGTTCTATTTATGTACATTAAGAAAAACTACCACTTACAAAAGCAGATAACTTGGTTAAATACAGAATATACAAGAACAGAGGCCATAAATCCTCAAAGTAAGCACCATGATAAAAATCTTTCTATACAGAATTCCTCTTACATTTTTTATTTGTAAAGCAAGGACATCACTGTAATCAACTTTGGGACTCAAAGTCATCCTCCACATTACCCTAATACCATAGCTCCTTTTGTATCTATTGTAAAACCCAGAGGTGTCTGTTCTCACCACATACACACTTCCCCCAGGAGCCCATCTGTGCCTAACATCGTTCAGCCTGTTTGTCTCCAGTTTGGAATGGAAAGGATGATAAAATGGGTGAGAACTTTGGAGGTAGATATTTCAGGCAGCTCTAGAATAGAGATTTCATTTGGATAAACTCTGCTGTAAATAAAAGCCTACTGACAGGGAAACCCTTACCAAACGTATGTGTCTTTTGAGAAACACTGTAATCAATACTTTTTCATAGATGGCAAACATAATTCAGAGAAGTAACACAAGCAGCATCAGAAAGAAAGAACAAAAAGAGTAAGCCAAAAAAAAGAAACAAAAGGAGGGAAGGGAGGGAAGGAAAGGAAGGGAAGATTCTTCAGTGATTCTAGACCATTCTTGCTCAGCTTTGTCCAGGGTTAGGGTTTAGGTTTAGGAGTTAGGGTTCAGGGGCTAGGGTTTAGGGTTGGGGTTTAGGGTTCAGGGTTAGGGTTAGCAGCTTGGTCCACAGAAATTAGTGTTGACTCTGTAAGCAATTCCCTTAATGAGAACTTACCAACACTGGCATATTTCTGCAGTGTTGCAGCCACTACACAAAAGGGAAGAATTTCATTCTGCTATTACTGCCACCAAACCAGAGTGTTTTCACTCATTATTTATAGCTGCTTAGTGATTAAGAAATGACTGCTGCAGTGACTGACAAGGAAAAGCCAGCTCTTTTTTTAAAAAATGGATCAGTCAGAAAACTTTAGATCCACCAAGGAATAAACCTTGATAAGCAATAGTTGCAATCCATTTTGCACCTTTATTCCTAGAAAAGCTGAGCTCCCTATTATGTCATTCTATAACTTGCTATTTCATTGTCATGCTAAAGCAATAACCACATTAGCAAGGTCCCCATTTTATTTCCTCACATCAAGAGCTACACGGAGAGATTTCCTTAAATTTCCTCCAGAGGAATTTAGGCCTCGGGCTTTGCCAGTGCTGCTAGGACAGATTAGAGTGCATCTCTGGCTATATCTGAACAGCACACACAGTTTAAACAAATGTTTCTCTTTCAGGAAGTCACAAACCACTTCAGACTGAACCATGCTGAAACAGTCTGGATTATACACACAATTGTGCACAATATGATAATGAACTTACAGAATTGTAAGGATATAAGTGTGATAAGTACTGGTATGCATATGGTTCATAACACCTATCAATGCCTGCAGCAAATAAATACTTAATGCCATAGATTAAAGTAGAAGAAAAAACTTTAGATCTGTAAAGAGAAGGACATCCAGAGAAATTAAGATAAAAAGTAGTCCATTCCATAGTCCATCTTTGGTGGCACCTAAATATAGTGTCTTCAAGCCTAGCTAGCTAAAAGTATAATTGGCTGCTGACTGTACTGAGTCTATAAAACCATCACAGCCCTGCCCTCCTGCCATTTTCTGAGTAAAACTTTCCCTTGGTGGGACTCAAAAGACTCAACCCCTACATTATTATAATGTGCAAGATATAACTGGCTTTTTGTAGCTAGCTAGAGTGTAAAATCCTCAAAGATAATCTGATGGTCTCAAGGAGAGTCTGCATGTTGACTTAAGCAAAATCTGGAATGGCAGCACCTTATCTTCTAGACTTAAAAGTACATAATAATAGCAACACTGGGTCAGACCAAATACCCGTCTCTGTCAGGAGTCAATAGTGTTATGTCTAGGAAAGAATAAAAGTACAGAAAAGCATACTTCCTCTCAGCATGGGCTAATTGTGCTTGTTGCACTTTCTGATCCAGAGATGGTACCTCAAGTATAGAACGGTCCCCAGCAAGTTTTTCTTTCATTCATTTGTCCAATGCTTTTCTGAATCTACATACCTATTAGCACTATAGCCTTGGGCCAAGTACGTAGCCTAATGATGTACTTCATGAAATACAGCATTGTTTTGTTTGTGCTAAATCCACCACTTGTTTAGTTTGACATCTGTTAGACCATGTACTTCAGTGGACAGAATAGTTGTTTCCTATTTTCTCCATACCGCTTGCACTTTTATAAACCTTTACTATATTCCTCTCTAGCCCTCCTGCAAATCATTTCTTTTCTAGGATGAAGAATCCTTGTCTACATATAAAGTCCCCGATTCTGTGTTGCAACTAAAGAAATTGTTCAGTTGATTGAAAACAAGAGAAAACAAAATCCTAAACTGATTTGTACTGCATCTTTCAGCTTAAAGTGTTCTAGGTAAGGTCAGCCTCACTGTCATCTTCACTGTGAATAAAGTCAAGTCAGGGTTTAGCCTAGTTATTCAGCCAAACCAGCTCATAACTGATTTAAAAAGACGAACAGTTTTAAACAGTTTAAATTAAACATATTTCCATCAGAATTCTGTGCTTATCTATTTAGATTGATTTCTAATACAGTGAAAAGTGAGGAGGATGTATACCTGTCTTCATCATCCATTAAGGATACAGAGGTGGGCTTGTCTTTCAAGTTTCATATTTCTAAGGAACTCTGTCTATAAAGAACCATGTTCAAAGAAGGAAGGTACCTGCACTGTACCTCTCACTGATTCAGACCTTGTGAACACTATCTTTGCAGCAGAAGCTATGACCAATCTCCTCCTCTGGGAAATCGGAGAAGTAGGCCACAGATAACAGGTTGCATAGACTCTATTCGCTAATATGTCTGGAAAGCTACCTAGTAAGAAATAAATCTAATATAACAGGAGCACTAACCAGCGACTGTCGGAACAGGAAACACTTCTTAGGGTCAATACCACAGGCAAGGACGGCAGCAGTGGTGTCCAGGATGTTCTGGCGCAGAACAGACGGCTCCTTGGGCATAGTGAGAGAGTGCATGTCCATTATGCTATATAGCACTGAACTGGATTCTTCCTGCAGCTTCACCCAATTTTGGATGGCTCCAAGGTAGTTGCCCAGATGAGGTGTCCCAGTTGGCTGAATACCAGAGAAAATCCGATCCATGACACCACTCTGTTACAAAGCATTAGTAAAAGTAACACATGCAAGTAAGTTTTGATAGATACTTTTTTATTTTGTCATTAATAAAACTTTGCTCATCTGTCTCATTTCTCCTCTTGTCATATATTAAGAAAAAAAAATTAATACATCAACATTTCCTACAAATAGTTGCAGAAATCAAAATACTGTTTCTAACCGTGGAGACTGGCAACTGGAGTAGTTTTAAGCTATCAGACTGCATGTAAGAACAAACATAGCTGTAAAGGAGACAAGTGAAAACATAATCTTAGAAGCCAAGCTGCTTTTGGTAGCAAAGCTGTATGTTTCCTTTTAGTACATTGCTACACTATGCTATAGAAGCTTAGGATCATGGCACAGAGAAAATCAAAATTTTTGTTATAAATATACGCAATATTCAAGTAGACTGCTATCCGGACTCCCACAAATATCAGTCTTATTCTAGCTGAAGAGAACTGCTAGAGTTGGTTCCAGAGAGAAACCCAGTCCTTGAACCAAATGTCAAAGAATAATGTAGAGAGATTATCCAAGCCCTGAAAATACCCACATTGGTAGTAGCATGGAGTATCTAAAAACAGATCTATAAAGCAATATTGCCACTCATTACTAGTGCATAGCTCAGGATCACAACTGGAATTAATTATGGACACCATCAGTAAAACATCAGCATCTAGAGAGGGTTCACAGAGAAGCAGAGGAAGAATAAGAAAAAAAAGATGCTGTGCACAAAGATTAAAAAAATTAAAACATGTATAGCTTGGCTAAGGGACAGTTACCATGGCCAGAAGCTTGTTTTCCTGCATCCCAGACCTCCATTTTACCATTCTCTCAGAGCCTCAAGCTGTCAGGGTTTGATCTACTGCCTCCCATGGCTTTCTAAAGAATTCCCTTATACCCAGAAAGTAATTCAGCAGTATTTCATGTGAAAATGCTTGTTGCATGCCAAGTTTTAAGATTGCACAAGAGTGCTGGATTTATAAACCAGGGTTCCACCAACCAACCCTGTTGACAAAGCTGCACAATATAAGCTGACAGATTATCATGTCAAGTCCATCACCTTCATTATACTTCTGGCTATGTGATTTTTTTTTCCCTGATTATTTTAAAAATAACATCTAGAACAAAGTGGAGATTAATATTTATTGATGTAGTCCACTACCAAGTCTGTGGACCTTTTATAAATGGATGGAGAAGGAGGGAATCATGCAACTATGAAACCACAAAAAAAGGGCCACAACAGTCAAGGCCAAGTACCATTATTTTATTTTTTACACTTCAACTTGACTGTGTTCCTTTAATTCTTTCTGATCTAGACAGATTCAGGAAAAAACTAATGAGACAGCACGTTCAGCTACAGTAGTTTTTTTAATACTATTTATTTTAGAAAAGTTTAGAAAAGCCTAACAGCTTTCCTTTAAAGCTTGCTGAAAACTTCTCCTTGCTTTCAAAATAAGCCTCGTTTTTAGATCAAGCCAATTTTCTTATCCAACTTCTAAGTGTTTGTGCTGACAGGTAAGTGCAAACTTGGGCTAGCAGCCATACTAATCTTTCCCGCTCAAGAAAGTGGCCACACATTTTACTCCAGGTGATAACTCCCCTGCATATATTTTATCTCAAGTATCTGCTTCACTTCTAGGAATGTTCTCGAGTCAGCTTCTAAAAGCTCTTGGAGAGTCTCCAACCCAGTAGCTGCAAGGCAGTCACACGCTGCAGTGGGAAGCAGAGTATTTACTCCAACAGCAATTCTAACTTCCAGATGCCATCTTCCAGTCCTTGCTCAGCCATGCCCCCAGTTATGCTCTCTATTATTTAAAAATTGAATTGTGCTGCTCAGTTCCTTGTTTGCCATTTAACACCTTCTCTTCTGAGGAGACTGCAGCAGGTTTACCACCACCAGGAGAACCCCTGGCTGCCCATTAAGCTACTACCTGCCGAAGGAGTAACACCAGCATCTTGTTAACAGAGAAGGAGGCATGAAGAAACCCAAGGACAGCTGGCACATCGAGCCCATGCAAAACAGTTCTATGCAAGATCTTCTCAGGCCCCAGGTTATGCAAATGCCTTTCTCTTGCAGCCTCAGGTATCGCTTCATGTGCCTACTATTATCTGCTCACTGCTTTTCCCTCTTGGATCACTGTGAACACAAGAGATGTATTGGCAAAAATATCTCCTTAATTTGAATGCAATATACTCAAATAGAGTATCCAAATGCAAAAAAAATCTTTTTTGCCTTTTTTAAGGTAATCCAAGAATGCTTTTCACCAAGAAAATAGAAACTATCAATGTCTCAATACATTCTGCACATTCTAATTCTGCCCCAACTCCAAAGATTTGAAGGACAAGCATGAACTAATCAAAGGTGGGTTTTTGTTGTTGTTATACTGTGTAAGTTAGCATTTGGTGACACAATGCACCCTGGAAGGAAAACGCCGAATTGCAATATAACACGGAGGCAATTTTACATAAAGACAGAATAAAGTTCTCTATCTAGAAGAATGTATCTGTGAAAGCGAGAACGACATCTTTAATGGTGTCTGCATGTTTAAATGGTAAAAAACTACTTACATAAGGTCTGTTCAGTACATAGGCAATAAATATCACATTAAATGAGAGAAACAAACTGTAGCAATTTTCTACTGGGTCCAAGTTCAGCAACTACCTAATGTATGAAATTTGCAGAAATAAGTAAGTCCAGTAACAAAAAAGCTAGATGAAGCACTAGGAAATACATTACAAAGAACAAACCTATACTGGCTCCCAGCTGAGGGACTAGCCGACTACAGGTCTTTCATCTTTAACTCTTGATTCTATTTAACAACATAAAGTATGAGACATTACAGGGTGGTATGAAATATTCCACTGTGTTAGCAGAAGTCTGTTAAAAAAAAAAAAGCCCTTAAATGAATGTTGGATTTCTAATACTAAAAATATACAGAGCACATTGCTCCTTTGGAGAGAGTTTATGTTCCATGTTTGTTCACTCTGTGAGAGCCAGCAGGCAGCATAGCAGCATGGCAGGGGAGTTATGCCTGGTACCATGAAATCATGGGACTGGAATGTACTTTGGTGGGGCGGCTAGGTCAGGGGATAGGAGCTGGGCACTCTAAAGTACAGCCTTTGGAAGAGGATGAAAATAAAAGGAGCTAAGACTTCCCAGTGGAACAGAGGGAAAGCCACAAGACATGCAGCTCCAGCCCACAGGCACTCACTCATTCAGACATCTGTGGTAAGTGCAGCAGGAGCCTGCTGCTCGTATGTTTAACTCTGTATGGTGTGTGCACCTCTATCAGTAATGCTGCATGCTAACCTGCCCTCCTGGCAAAAACATGGCATCTGACAGATGTTTTAACATTCAGTATTTTCCCCCCCCCTCAATGAAACTTCTGCAGGACAAATCCAAACACTACAGTGCCTTTCCTTCTTAGTGGCATTTCTAAATTCATGTGGGCCAGAAACCTGTAAAGGTTCAGGTGTGCTATTATCTAACCTCCTTTGTCACAACAGGATGAACACAACTGAAAAGCCATCACTATCTAAATGCTCTTCAATGACCAGGAATCAGTATTCAGTGCTCAACCCACAGCAGGATGGCCAAAGTCCATCTCCAACATCTGCAGCGTGGCCATATCCGCTTTCAGTGGAGAGGTGTATTCCAGAAAAGCTGGTCCTTTCTGAAACAGAATACTGCTCTCTGGATTAAAATAGAATGTTGCATGTGGAAACTCATCTTCAATGGGCTGCACTTTCAGCAAGAAGAGCAACAGTTGTCATGATCTCAGTTCAGCAGTGAAGAACACACTTATCCCCTGCATGTAAGCAACAAGCATGCCAGAAGCGGAGAACACAGCAAAGTTGCTAGAGCTGAGGAAATCTCACATGTGTGTTTCTGGAGGATCGTCATAAACAATTTTATTTTTAAAGCTACAAATGTTTTCCTAGCATGCTTGTCTATTAGAAAGAATTTTAGGAAGGAAAAAAAAGAAAGGAAAATAAAAAAGAAAATTTTAACTATGAAGTCAAGTCAACACCTAAAGCTGGTATTCAAGCCAATATATGAAAGCAAAAATGATTTGAAAAAGAGGACACTCCAAAAACGTAGCTACATTAGATTAAGCTTCAGTTTTCTTTTTCGCCTTGGTGGGCCAAACTCTTTTCACAGATTAAGTACGGTCTGCCATGCAATATCCAGAAATAAAATTTTATTTTTTACAAGAAATCTGAAGGTTAAAATACATACGTCAAAAGGCAGACATGGGTCTCTAACTGTTAAAGAGCACATAGGGAAGCTTCCAAGCTCTTCAGCAGCAAGGCAACACTATATTGTTAAAACAGCTATGCAATTCTATGGATGCTGATAGCTGTACATATTGCATTTTCAATGGTGCTTAAAAAGCTTTTTGCAACCTCCAAAAGCAGGATGTTTTATGCTCCCTAAGCTATCTGCAGCTGCCAAAAAAGTTTCACAGTAAAGTTTCTCTATTATATTTTATGACTTTCAGTTGACACAGGTTTATTTTGTTAATATCCTTTAATTTAGAAATCTGTATAATTTGAGTATATATTACTATGAGGTGTATGTAGTTGTAATATACAAACAATGGAACAACTATAAGACATCTTAAAAATGTTAAGGGACTGCCCAAGCAAAATACTTACAAACTTAGAAATTTATGTTAAAATATGTACTCATTACTTGGGAAAACATGGAGAAACAGGTCTTACTTTAAAATTAAAGTAACATTACAGAATGTGGAAAGTAAGATTTCAAGAATCATTTAAAAACAAGCATGGAAATGCACAACTAACCATAAGAAGAAAAGAAATACCCCAAAAACATTTCATTGTATTGTTGGCCATGAAGTTACAGGGCTCGTTCCAGGAACCCAGATCAGCAGTATTTAAAGAGGCAAGCCTACTTGGTTTATTAGTATAAAAAGTCGTCCCTGTCTTCCTTGAAACTGTAAGATGTTACTGAAACTTCTTTCAGATTTTTA